TTATGAAAGCATCCTTAAGTAGTGAAGATTCAGGTTTGTTCAAATGATGACCCCTTGAGATTTGGTTGGGCCACAACAGGGGATTTCAAATATCTTCCAATCATGTTCCTATAGGTTGGGCATTAAATGTCCAAATCCAGTTTCTGCTTTTTCCTAGCTAAAGTGCTCTGGTGAGCGATGAGGCCCATGGGCTTCTTGTTAAATAAAAGAACTTGTTTTCAACTTCAAAATTATTGTACCAGGTTAACAGTCTGAATTTTGTGATTTAATTTATAGCACCTTACAAAACAATACTTTAAAGATGCAGCAGCAAGTTTAACCTGATTAGCACTCATGGAGAGAACAAAGAAATACTCTTGATAATTAATGGATGATTGTGGAGGCCATTTTACATGTAGTAGCCTCTTGTTAGTCAAAGCTTTGTAAATTCTCATTCCTAAATTGTCATTGATTGGTTCCAATGAATTTTTAAGGCTGCAAGTGATTTGTATACAATTTACCCATTGTGGTGCATTAATTTTGATGGAAAGCAATCTGATTTTGGACATGCATAAAGAACAGGTATAAATCTGATTTTCTGTTCAGAAAACCTGAAGAAATAGCATACTGTATAAACACATTTAATTTTAGTTTATTAAAGGGATAAATGTGTTTGCAAGTCTACTTGCTTGACAAAATCATCTGGCACGTGATTTACTTTGACACCTTATTCCTTTCATCCTTTCAGTTTTCCAAATTGAGTTTAAAATGTTTTTTACATGCTCGGCTAGAATTGTGCACATATTTGTGAAAATTTACACCTGCTTGAAAGTTATACCCTTTAAAAAAGGGTAATTTATGTAATTGAAAACCAATTGATGCAAAGGCCCGCCTTTTAAATGGCATTTTGTGCATAATCCGATGAAATTTGACTTATGGTTTTGGATGGAAAAACGACAGATCAGTTTCAAAAACTCCTTTATAGGTTTATTAATTGAGCATGGTCCCAACCCGTGATGAGTGGGTATTCAGATTTAATTTGTATCCCGTAATATGCTAGATGAATAGCATGGAGAGACACATTGCAGAAGAAATGCCTGTTAGCCTGATTTAGATTGGGATTATTTTCCTCTTTCAATTTATTCTCAAAGTGAGTCCCTTTATTGGGATGTGCAGTCCGTAGCAATAGAATTTTTTTCAGGTCCCTTTATTGGGATGTGCAGTCCGTAGCAGTAGAATTTTTTCCAGGTCCCTTTATTAGGATGTGCAGTCCCTAGCAATAGAATTTTATTTCAGTAGGAGTTTGCATTGACTTTTTGAAGAAGACAAAATAATGCCAGTATTGATTTACAACTCAAAAACTTTCAAGTTTTGTGCAGAATTTTTTTTTTAATGCAGAATAGTAATGACAGTTAAAATTTTGCTTTACCTTAAGGGTATGATTGATCGAAGCCACCACAGATACAGATGCTCTTAAAAGACCCCCCCTCCCCCCCGCAAAAAAAAAATAAATAAAACAGATGAATATATATTGTAGAGCCAATTTAAAGGGTGTTTCATTAAACTGAATGCTTCATTAATCCAAACAATTTGCTCTGGAGCAAAAGAAATCACACCTAATCTTAAGGCTTGACTGTATTTTAAATGGCTTTAAATCCATCATCATCTATTCTTCCACCCCCTCTATGGACCCTCTTGATAAAAATGTTAAATGCTCTTAAGGACATGGATCTCGAAAAAATATATTAAAATTCTGTTAAACTTTTTTCAACTGTAACTTATGCATGCATTTTTATCACACAGTTTTCATATCAAGCTGGCTATAAATTCCTCATTTATTCCAGATCTTTTTTTTTAAATCTGTATTTAAATTCAATTAAATTGAAATTCTCCAAAATAAATAAAATGTAGTGTAATTTTACCATATTAAAAAAAAAAAACAAAAAAACCATAACAAAATACAAGATACTAAACCTAGATTTTTCCTATAATGGCCTTTGAATTAAACAACACTGCATGCATAGATGCAAAGTAAATTGAAAAAAAACCGGTGATCAAGGAAACATTAGAGGGAAGCAAAAATGGAACCAACATTATTGCATAACAGATCATTTGCTTTATAATTTTAGAATATACTCTTGCTGCAAGGCCCTTTACCCATACCAAACCATTCTCACAATTTGCTCATGAGCAGCTCACGTGAGGATTAACCAGATTTCCTCACCTGAGTTGCTCACGTGAGTCTCATGTGCAATTTAACATGCAAATTAGGTGAAATGCTCACGTGAGCAGGGTTCTGCACATTAGCATTTTTTGCTCACGTGAGGAATCATTTTGCTCACCTAGAATATTGCTCACATGAGGCTCATGAGACTCATGTGCAGCAATTGCTCACTTGAACAAGCAACAACAGAACAAAATTCAGATTACAAACATTATATAATTATGTAATTTTAAAATGTGATTCATCAATTACATTTTAAATACTCTTGAGCAACATGTACATGTAAATAGATGCATGCATAATTATGTTCAGTGAACTTCATTTTTTAAACTTAAAATGAAATGAAAACTTTAATTAAATTATTATAATTATATATGTACAGTACACATATCAATTAAAGTATTATTATCCAATAGTTCCATTTCCAGTAGATTAATATAGAACATCCAATGTAAATGTCCAGTCAACATTTTTGACTTCAAGTACTAGATGGATTAAATTGTCTTAAAGTTGTCTTGGAGGCTAAACGTAGATGTTTCTGCCTTTGCTGAATTTATGAGTGGCATGCAGTCATACTTTGATGTAAAATAATAATCCAGTGGTCTTAAGAATCATAATCAGTTCATCCTGTTCCATTCTTTTTCCTTGCATTTCCTTTAAATGAGTGCCAACATCAGAACTCCATCATGTATGCAAGCTTAGCTAGGGTCCGTGATTAATCTGCAGATCCTTTGATTCCAACTTTTATCTGCAAAAAAATTTGAAGTTATACTTCGTATATTTTCAAGGTTCCATTGGTCATGAAAAGCCAGCGTATAGAAAAATCATATGCATCAATATTTAATTAGCTACTTAAATACATGTTTTCATAGAATACCGCACTGAGGCTGTCAATTGTACACTCTGACCAATTTTTCTTACCATATTTATAGTTTTTAGTTAAACTGTATAATGCCATAATTAAATATATCAAAATTAAATGCACTGATAATTAACACACAAACATATTATTTTTTTTAATTAGTAATATCTGAAATGAGAGGGGGGATAATAAATTTCAGAGCACTTACCCTATTCTCAGATCAGTAAATTAATTAATCTTTGAAATTTTCCTTCATTGTGGCTGCACCATGGTATATCTATACAATTGATCTTTAATCATCCCATGGACATACTGGATACATCTGTAACTTTTAAAGGCTGGCAAAAGTTCAATATGGTGATATATATTTCCAAAAGCAATTTCAAGTTCTTCATGTATTAATCCATATACTTTCAATGTCCCTCACAAACATTTTGTATTGAAATTTTGAACTGGTCTGAGAAAACTTACAAATCTTGACTGGCTCTTTAAACTGCCTTTAAGTAACAGTGGGGGACACAACAGGTTGTTTAGGTAAAAAGCACTTTCAAATTGATGGGAATATATGAAGATTAAAAGCTCAATAAATTAAGATATTCCTGCCTGGTCCCCAATCATTTGTGATGCTATCATCAGGAAGTGTTAATGCTTAACACATGGTCAATTTGTAATAAAGGCTTGGGAAAGCTACCACAAGAGTGTCAAAGTATTTATTTCCTCACGTGAGGCTCACGTTTTAAAATCTGTAGTTTAAATTCTCTGGTTTTGGTTCTACTTGTAATACTGAATTTTGACTATGTCCAATTTCCTCACCTCTTGCTCAAAAAAAAACTCACTTGAGAAAAAAACTTAGAAAAATCACTACCAATGCGCTATATCTTAAATAAGGCTTTTTCTTAGGTGAGCATTGAAAGACTTTTGCTCATGAGCATTGAGGTAAAATTTTGCACATGTGCATTTTGGAAAACAGAGACTAACAAACTGCACATGAGCAAAATCCAATTCTAACCTAATTTGCATATAATTTTAGAATATACTCATGTGCTGCAAGGCCCTTTGTTATTTTTTAATTTTTTAAGCTCAGAACTTAATTTACACTGCATTAACTAGCCTAGAATTTTAGTGAATTAAGGTATTATGTTTACTTTTGTAGCCTTCTTTTTCTGACGGTAATTTTTTAGGCTGCCCATATAATTTCCTTCACCTGTTTTTGCCACATAAATTTGTTCAAGTTAATGATCTGTAAAGAATAAAAACATTTACTTTCTTTATATGAAATTATTTGCACAAATTAAAATTGGAATGTGTTATAGAATGCAATGCAATTTGTTTTTCCATCCCAGTGTTTCATTAGCCTGTTATTTTTTTCCATTCCCCTCGATTTAACCAGGTTTTCTTAATAAACAGTGGCTCATATTACACAGAAATATAAATGCTTTTAGGATTTCTAAATGTGCACATGCTCTGATGTGTTTGACCTCGACCTTTTTCAGCAGTCTGGGGGCTGATTGTACTGCAGATACAATCACATTTAAATAGACTGGTGTCTCAGGCTTGTGAAATTTCAAATGATATCCGATTGTAATATGAAGTCACCCATATAAACATTGCAGTTCAAATTGAACCTTTGTCAGCAAACTTTTTGAACACTACACACCAATGTTTTAGCTGAAATTTTTAAAGAAGAATTTTTTAAGAGAAAAAAATGTATGAAATCTGCAGAAATTATTTTTGCATCCAAAATTGAGGTCTAGCTTATATAAATGAGACGGATAGAGAAAAAAATTAAGACAGGTATGCATAAAATTTGTGTCACGAGTTATTTGTGTGTTTTGACCCTTAAAAATGCCTTGGAGTGTTAAAAGACAGGTAGCAAGCTCATTTAGCATGAATTAATTCTTTGGCAAGGCCTCCTCATGGATGTACGCTAGAAATGATAAGAAAAGCACATCGAGTGACACCGAGATATATTTACATGTAAGGCAGCTAAGACCCAGAGGTTATCACTGAGACCCTACTGTCTGATAAAAGATTATTTTCCACAGGAAAATTCTTGGCACATGGCTTGTATTAACCTGTGTTTTAGTATATACTAGTTTTTCCACATCTGATTGTTTTGTTTGTGTATATACAGTTGGGGGCCAGAAATAGAAGGGGGAAAAAAGAATAGTAAGGGGTGAAAATATCATCAGCTGTGTTTGTTTATTAGTTCGGGATCATCATAGTGAAATTGGAGACCTGTGGATGAAATATACGTGGCTGTGAAATATGATTTTTCTGCAGACCATGCTTTTGATTGTCTTACCATCATAGCGAACTGCTTCCAAGAATTTCCTGATATCTTTATTTTTAGTGTGTGATAGCAATCGGCCAACTTTATTTTTGGTGGGGTACCACATTGCTTTTTATACCTCCCTCTGCAGATAATTCAAAATTTGGAGCTGTGCATGCTTTATACATATGGATAGCAACACAGGTGAGTTTTCTAGAGTATCTCTGATCAGTGCTGAGAATTGAAAAAAGAGAATGTGGCGTACTATTATTTGTCTAAACCCCCCAGATAAAACTCAGCTGATCAATGCTGTTATCTGGGACCCAGACTAAAATTTCTTTCTATACGGTGGAGATAAGATAAAGTCTAGGGAACCTTATTTTAAATTACGCAGGTCGTAAACTCTCGAATGTGAATAAATAAGTGAAAAATTGGTCATTATGGATCTTGTTCATTGTTGCTCTTGTTATTGATGATGTACTGTACAATAATTTAAGTTTGTTTTATTTTATGATAAGAGTTAACGTTCCACTAGAAGAGAGAAAAGCATACTGGCTAATGATCAGGTGATTTATTAATGTATTTAGCTTTGATGTAGGTCCCTAGTGTGCAGATGTAATATTTTTTTTTCAAACAAGACTGATCATGTGAGAGATGAAAGCAGAAATATCTTTTTGTTTTCAAGAAAAAGAAATTGCTAAAGTAGTTAAAATTGAGTGTTTGCAGCACTTCATATATGATTTTTTTTAAAAGTATAGCATATAAACAAGCTTTAGATATACAGCATTTACCCCACATTATTCAAACAATTTCCACAAAATATTTTTATGATTTTGTTCCTAAAACATAGAGCTTATTTTGTTCAAGTTCTATCGATTGACCTATTATGAGTAGGTGTTTGGACTGTAAATAGAACAGCTATATAAGCTAGCCTAAATCAGGTCTTTTCTCTGCAGCATTTTGGAACATAATATTATTTTAAATTCTGTTGTTATAATGTCAGATTCGCTATAAAGATTCTTGTCTTTGATGTTATGTCTGAACCAGACGGATTCTGGTGATCTAATGTTTTGACTTAATGAGTATAAGTTGATGTAAAAATACCATGGTTTCTAACTGTCCTGAAAAAGGAATTGATAACAGAAATCTAATGTTGTGTCAAAGTGAAGGTGATGGTCACATCTGATTTTATTTATATTTTATACCAAAGGCAAGAGTGGCTTGTAAATATTGAAGTATTTTTTTGTGAATTGATAGGTTTTAATTAATGTAAAAAGATACAGATGTCTGCATTCATGAGTTTTTAAGATAATTAAATCGTTAAACCATTGTTAAGGAAGTCTCTGTAATAATTGGATCATTACAAATTTAACTTTGAAAGTTTTTTGTCCTATGAATCATCATTTTACTTGCCAGACTGTCTTAATGATATTATGCCATGTAAGAATATCTAAAGGATATATGATTCTCTATAACAATATCCTTATTTAGGGAATCCTAAAGATGGTTTAAAAGGGGGGGGGGGGTCAACAAATTAACCATCTGATATAACTTAATTTTTTAGATAATGATATCTCTCAATCCATCAACTATCATTTGGCAAATAAAAATTTCATACTTTTTAGTTTTAGAATTTTACCATTATTGTATGTCTTTATATGGAGCTCTTCTTCTAAAGGAGATCAGATCAGGAGGCCCGTGTTTGATTCTCATTCATGGCGCCGCATCAAACCGAAGACATAAAAATAGGTAGTGACTGTTCCTTCGACAAGCACTCGGCATTAGAAGTGAAAGTCATGGGTCTTTCAGATATGCATGTCCTTAAAAATGTAGGTCCTAGCTGTGTCTCGGAAGGCGCTGGCACGATAAAGTACTGCTCAATGGCCCTGTATATGTCTAATTTGAAGCCCTTCACCAGCATATGGTGACATCTCTGTATTAGTGAAAAATTCTTGAATGGGACGTTAAACAATATACTTTAGACAATCTAAAAGAGAACAATATAGGCTGAAAAAGGCCACAACCACCCACCCAGTGATTTTCAAGTATGCCTAAGTAGGGTGTTAAAGTTCTTGCAAAAATGTACTGATGTTTTACCTTTATGAATGTCTGTACCTCAGTCTTTAATGTGTTTTGATTAAAATAGGTTCATTTCTGTAAGAATGTTTACCAGTACATGTAATTGCCTTTTTTCCAAGCATATATGACATGCGATAAGTTTCTGACCCATGTATTGAACACCAGCCTTTCATATATGTGAATTAATTTAGGTGAAAGTACTGTAAAACTGAACCAAAATAGAAATGTACAAAATACGGACCAAAAAAGATCAATTCTAAAGAATGTTATGTACGTGTACCATGCACAAGTCTCTATCCCCAGTCAGTCGTCTGTTTTCATGATACTAAATCAACCCTCTGACTCTGCATTAGAATGGACAATACTTAGGCAGTGTTTGACCCTTCTCAGTATATGGCCTCATCGTTCAGGCAATCTGAGTACTGATCTCAGGTCTCCCAAATAGAAATGTAAGTTAACATATGTACTTTCAGTTTCATGCAGTGTATGTAAGCTCTAGCTCTCTTCCCTTACATCACCATATATGTATAAAAAAAAGAGAGGTAAAATGGAGAAGAATCACCTGTTATATATAATAAACTTGTTTTACTTAATATATCAATTTTTTCGAATTTGTTATTTATTTGATTTATTGGATTCAATAACAGAAAACCAGAAAAGTAATTTAACATTCCTTAATTTTTTTTCATTTTTTGTTAGAGTCAATTTGGGATAACTGTATATAACAAATAACAAGAGACAACACCGGCAAATTTGAAAAAAAAAAAACAAAACTTTCCCATCCTCATCTTGTAGCATTAACAAACCCCTTTATTATATCCAAGAGGTCTTAAAAGATTGTACTTTTTGATTTTCTTCATAAATTCTTTTAAATTTCAGCAAAAACTGAAAAAGGCCACATGATTTTAACTATAGATTTGATGCATTCATAATTAAAATTAAGTGTGAACTATATAGCTCTGAGCATTTCAATAATACTGAAAGACAAATTTCCACTGTGGGTCATTTGGACAGAATAATTACATATTTTAACAATTTTTTTTTTGTAAATTTTTACTTTGTTTTGAATTTATACAAATGATATTGACAACCACAATCATCTTGAAGTTGCCATCTTAGAGAACTAGAAGTTAATTGATAATCAGGTGATTTCAGGTCATCCAAAATTACCTCTGGGTGGACATTTTTCAGACAAAGTAACAAGCATGAATGACAAACACTGCAGTGGGCCAAACAGAGTTATTAATTTAATTTAGTTTTACTGTCCTTATATGCAGATTGCAGTGTCCAGGCTCTGATATATGTACTTGGTAGTTTTTTCTTTGACACATCTTTCTGTACAATTATATGCATGCATACATGTATATATATTGAAATCAGCTTTCTGATTCATGCTTCTCTGGGTAGAATAAAGCTGTCTTGCAGTTGGTCTGAACTTTTTCGGATATTTCTCCTACAGAGACTAATACCGGATCTGCTCATGTTAAGAGCCTTCTGCCATCTTTAGGCAGTCCAAGGGCAGTCTCCCCATCTCCCTGTCAAGGTTCCAAGTTTCCCTTGGTCTAATCCTATTTTCTTCAGATTTTAGCCATATGTATGGCACGCCAAATTCACAAAAATGAGATAATCATAGTTTCACAATCGATAAACAAGGTTTATCGGTTGTAAACTATAGTTTACGAACTGTAAACTATAGTTAACAACGTTAATCTATATTTCACATCTGTAAACCATAGTTAACGCGATAATCTATGTTTCACAACCGTAAACTATACTTAACACCGAAAACAATCATTTGCGATTGCAAAACATAGATTTTCTGATAAATACAGTTTCACAATTTGTAAACTATAGTTTACAAACCGTTAACTATAGTTAACGATCTGATAAATATAGTTTCACGATTTGTGAAACTATGATTAACAACTCTTAACTATAGTTAACGATCGTAAAATATAGTTTACAGACGTGAATCTATGTTTATCACCAAAATCTATTGTTAACGTTTCATTAGAGACAGATAAACTTAGATTATCATTCGTAAACTATAGTTAACAATCGTTAAATATAGTTTTACAGATGAAAACTAAAACTATACTTAGTTAACGAATCGTTAACTATAGTTTACGGTTTGTAAACTCTAGTTTACAGTCGATAAACCTAGTTTATCAATTGTGAAACTATGATTATCTCATTTTTGTGAATTTGGCGTGCCATACATATGGACCAGATGTTCTATGGACAGTTCTTCTTTCCTTTCAATATTCTACTGACATAAATGACTTATTTATTTGGTCTTTGTCAGTGCAGTGTGTGGCCTTGATACTACTTCCAAATCTGTTTCCTTGTTGGAATAAATTGTACACTAGGTTTGACTGTTGACTCATGTGAGTATTGTGGCCAATAAGCCTTTAGAGAATACAGCTTTTGAGGACGTGAAATGCAATTAATTGTGACATTAATTAAAAGTTAAAATAATTTTTGGGAGAAAAAACTTCGATTTGTAAATGGGAGAGTATGATCAAGATTTTTCAATCCTGTAGTTTAAAGTGGAGTTGTTTTGTTAAGAGTTCTTCATACATAATCCCCTCTTAGCAATGCATGTCAGGTATTTCTTTATGCACACATTATCTATCTGGGCAACACAAGGCTTGTCTGCATATATTAATCAAGTTTTCCCAACAGGGGTTTTCCAGAAATACATAATTCAGTCACTATAGTCTGTAAAACTTAATCTTGTGAGATTTTCAGTTGAATTTCTTTTTTAAAAAGTTAAAAAAATCTTCTTTCATCTGTTTGGAGCAAACTGTGTTACAGATGTGTTGTTTTCAGTTGAAAAAAATATTATCTCGCTCAGTTTTTATCTGTTTTAAAAATAATGCTAGCTATTGAAGACAGGAATCAGGTTAAGTGCAAATGTTTACTGGAGGAAAACTGGGGTACCCTTGTAGTTGGCTAATTACAGAAAAGTCTAAGATTTAAATGTTCATCAAATTTAGAAAGATGTGGGTGAAGCTTGCCAAGAATTGTCCGCCTTGCTGCATCTGACTTACATTTTACTGATGAGTGACCAGGATTTAACAGTGGTGTATGTTTTTTGGAGCAGGTCTTATTTCCTAGTAACT